TATATATATATATATATATATATATATATATATATATATATTCAGTTGCGCCGCATTAGCAGATTAGCATATATTCACGACACCTTGCACGCTCATCATAGCGATTACGATTGTACGCGATGACGTAACCTATAATGTACTCATCTCCTGCGTGTGATGCCAATACCCATCAAACAGCTCATATTTCATCCCGATGATCACATTTCATCACGATGATCACGCACCGCGGTGTGCGGCGCGCGTCCGTCTGTCGGCGTGTGTTGCAATCGCGCTAATGTTATCCGGTCCGCATTTAGGCGCATCGACGCTCATAAAGTCCTCATTTGCGTGACGGACGGTGGGAGGAGGGGGGAGGGGAGCCTCGGTTAAACAGCGTCTGTCTCTCATCATGCGACAGCGCCGTGCCGCGCCACACCGTGATCATGTAGGATGCTTGCAGCCTTGCACATCATGCATATTCCCACATCATGCTACATCTTCTCACATCAATCATGTAGCATTCTCACACATCATGCAGCATTCTCACACATCACGCAACATCCGCCCATATCATGCAACATATTTCCACATCATGCAGCATCCTCCCAAATCACGCACCGTGCTTCCAACCCGTGCAACATCTTTTTACATCATGCAGCATCCTCCCACATCATGCAGCGTTCGCCCACATCATGCAGCATCCTCCCACATCATGCAGCATCCTCCCACATCATGCAGCATCCTCCCACATCATGCAGCATCCTCCCACATCATCGCGGCACTTGTTTACCTTCTTGACATGGTTCTCGAAAAGACTGAGGTTAAGTGCTGCCATCTGTGAGCACTCGGCGTCCGCATCACGCTCGACTATGTCTACAACAGAAAATAAACTCATTTTCAACACTGCCATCTATAATGCACAAACGTATAATATCTCCCCCTGCCCGCGCCCGCCTCTGCCCAGCGTCACCGAAGCAGGCGTACTTCAACGAGCAATATCGAATGATTAGTCCGTGGACAACTGGGAATCACTGTCATTTCGAGGCACCGTCACATCATCACATCATACTGGTAGAGGCAGATGAAAGCTGGACAAATTACGAAACGTGCACAAACTGGGCAGCAAAACATCACAAAAATAATGCGGGATTCAGCAGGGGAGAGCGGGGGGGGGGGTAGGGGGATATATAGACTAGATGGACTGTACTTGATTGGACTGTATTTTCGCTGGCATTTTTGATCAAAATCTGCTACTCACAGGTATCCTTCTCACGAAAGCAACATTCATGTTATAAACGCGTGGACGTACGCACACACGCACGCACACACCAAAGCACGCGCGCACACAAACACGCATCAAAGCATGCACGCACACAAACACGCACCAAAGCACGCGCGCACACAAACACGCACCAAAGCATGCGCGCGCACAAACACACACCCGGGCCGTGCGCATACTCACGCACCCACGCAACACCCGTACGCACACACTCGCACGCACACTCATACACGCACGTACGCGCGCACACAAACACGCACGCACGCACGCACGCACACACACACCCGCACACACTTAACTGTTTTCATCAGCGCCCTAGACAGAGACTTGTATGACTGGATGGCAGGTGCACCTGAACGCGCAGTATACGGGGCGCGAGCGAGCTTTTACAAGGCTGGCACCTAACGTCAAAGCCACAGACGCACATGATGACAACACATGAGCAATTAGATACAATAATGTAACCCAAACACAGGATAGGTCCTATCCTGTGTTTGGGTTACATTATTGTATCTAATGAGCAATCAGTAACAACGATATGAGATCGGGAGGGAGAATATGCCGAGGGACAAAATATACTCTGCACCGGAAGAGCGAAAACCAATGCCACTTGTGATGGAAAGACGATGGGTGGAAAAAGGGAAATAAATTAGTTTCTGATACTGTAACAGTTGCGGTAATATTGCAGACTAAGCAATTACAGAGATTCTCCCCCTGCTTGGCCTCTTTCTCACATACTCTCCTTCATAGGCTACGGAGCGCCACACGCCAGGCATCGCTACACCCCACCTCCTACCCGGTTTCTCATTCGCGCATCCATCTCTTTATCCCCCACCCCTCTTGCTTCCCGGCTGTTGCTTCCGCTGACTCCCATACCTCCTTCTCTCGCCTCCTATCTCCTCCCTCGCACATCATTAATGATATCCGTTTAAGCCTCGCAACCTCACCGACAAGCTACGCAGTGTCCGTACGCTATGCGGGCGCTAACGCATCCACAGAGCCGCGTTAACTAAGTGCCCGCGTGTCAGTCGTAGCTTTACTTCCCGTGCGCATGCGCCGAAAACGCGTGAAGTAACGAACCAAAGCACAGGTGTTAGATCAGCGAATGCACGAAGAGAGGCGAGTGCCAACAACCGCAGAGTATTAATACTAGGTGTCTGACTGTCAATCCTAGCTTTCCTAGCCGTGTGTGTGTGTGTGCCGAAAACGCGTGAAATAACGAACCAAAGCACAGGAGTTAGATAAACGAATGCACGGAGAGAGGTGAGCTGGCACATTGGACACTATAGCAGTGAACGCCGCAGCAGGGTTAGTTAACGACGCGGCGAAAAGACAGTTACAAGTGCTGCAAGTTAGCCTAGGTAAACCGGTAATTAAAATAAGTGATTAAGCGATAGAGACTAACGAACGAAAGACGATAAAAGAAAGGGGTAAAACGCCAAGCACACAAACACGAGTATACACGGACAGCTACATTACATAAGAATACTCGGACAACTACATCACATAAGAATACTCGGGCAAACACAACACGTAAGAATACTCGGGCAAACACAACACGTAAGCATACACGAAAAAAATACAATATTTAAGAATACACCGACTAACACAACACATGAGAATAGGCGAATAAATACAATAAACATACGGACAAGTATACATACGAATCCAACGGGGAAAACGCCGCTTCCTAATATAAAACCTATCATTAAAAACAACGCGAAGCCATCACAGCCTATAATACTACTATAATATAAAGGATTACGATCATGTCATTGTCTGCTATCTATTATCGAGTAATTATACGTATTTAATAACAATTACTCACACACGCCATCAATGATGACATAGAATGACGCAAGCTGCTATGTATACACATCACGAGCAATTTTCGTAGAAGGGAAATGGAATATTTAATTGAACCCGGACAGAAATGCTCTTGCTAAAAAGCGCCGGTGAAATAGCTTCGCATTTTTTTTCCGGTGAAATTCGGCACTACTTGTCGCGTAGATGTGACATTCCGTCAAGTGGCGTAGCCATGGTAACCGGTTGGCCATTTTTGTGTTTGAAATGTGATCCGACTACGTTGTAGAAATTCGCATCATAATAATATATATTAATATAATAATATATCATAATAGCGCAGGCGTAATACGTCATAGTACACACAGCCTGCGCAATCGCTTGCGCATCGGCTACTATTTATCCATCTGCGCGGTAACACAACAATCAGCACCCGAGTTGGACCGCCCCCTCACCACACCTGACAGGTGCTTCTGGTCGTGACGACTGTCGTACGTACGCGCGGCGGACGAGAACGTTGCAAGCCGACAGCGGAGAGTTGATCACACGCGGCATCTACCAGACGAAGGTAAGCGACCCTATCAGATTGCTACGAGTATAGTCTCATGCCGCGCGCTCGATTCTTCCCAGAGATACATTATTAACACACTGATACACACATATTGCTTGCACACCCGTATTATACATTATAACACACACTTGCTTATTCTCATCGAATTTATTTATTATTTATCTGAGTTTATTTGTCGGGACGTGCTCTAATCGGTGCTAGCGCGTGTCAGGGTGATGACACAGGCACTTGGAACGTCTCAATAAAAAAGGCAAATAAACACGAAATGTATTTACTACCAAAGTCTTAATGTTTCTCTACTCTCCTTCGCCTATTATTGCCGATAACTTGCTGTAAATTCCGTTCAAATTCTTCTCTACACAACACACAAGTAATCCACGCGCAAGCTCTATTATTCTTGTTTGTGCACAGGGCGTGCGTGCGCGCGCACATGCACTTGAAGCGTTTCAATAAAATATATACCCAGGGGTCGTGTGATGTGCACGGTGACAGTCAAATAGCTATATATAGCTATATATTTAAATGTCGCCGTGCACAGCACACGACCACTGCGTATATATTTTATTGAAACGCTTCAAGTGCCTGTCTGCGTGCGCTGTACTTGTGTGTTGTGTAGACGAGCATTTCAACGGCATTTACAGCAAGTTATCGGCAATAATAGGCGAAGGAGAGTAGAGAAACATTAAGACTTTGGTAGTAAATACGTAACATTTCGTGTTTATTTGCCTTTTTTTATTGAGACGTTCCAAGTACCTGTGGTAATGACGACACACGATATAGAACTTAGAAGTGCATGAATGACGGGGAGGCACAGTGACCACAGGCACTTGGACCGTTTCAATAATAAAATGATGGTTAATAAATACAACTTGTCAGTACTACTACTAGACCTACCAGTACCAGTACCAGTAATAGTCTTTCTTTTAATGTTTGATTTGACCTAATAACTTCACTTCAATACCGTCCAATACACCGCTGCAACACATAGCGCGCACGCCATTTTGCATGCACAAATACACAGTAATATAGAGTGTTTATTACTCTATTATCTATATCTCTATATTACTGTGTATGTGTGCATGCACAATGGCGTGCGCGCTATGCGTTGCAGCGGTGTATTGGGCGGTATTGAAGTGAAGTTATTAGGTCAAATCAAACATTAAGAGAAAGACTATTACTGGTACTGGTAGGTCTAGTATTAGTACTAACAAGTTGTATTTATTAACCATCATTTTATTATTGAAACGGTCCAAGTGCCTGTGACAGTGACAATGAAGCGTAGAAAACGCAGGAAAACGATTACTGTCATGTATGATAGTAGAAGGAGATCTGAAGCAGAACTGAACGCTAGTTGTCTAGAAAACTAAGCGTATGACTGTGTAGCAATACTATCGACGTACGCTTCCTGATAGAAAACGAATAACTCACGACAGAAGCTTCGAGACAGAAGTCCAGAATCCACTGTCAGAAACAATGATATCGTGACTATAGTTAAGTTGCCTAGTTAAGTGTTACAAATTTTAAAAATGAAGTTTCGTGCAAAGGTTACCGCGACACGTTACGGACTTTGCGATTATAATTATTATATATATTAATATATATATACTTGATATATATATATACATAATATCGACTAGTAAAGTAAGCTAATGCACAGCGACAAGGCAATGGGCGAACGGACCAAACATATAACAAACATGTTAAAGTGGAATAGGAGGGAACGTTTTGCTAGGCAGTAACCACATCGAGAAGCAAACCGGCGCTTCAGAAGGCGAGAACGCGACGAACTTGGTACAGCAGTTTACTTATTACGTTTAACATACGGAAGCTACGAGCACACTTAAAGTGTTTCGCAAGCGGGTGCATATCAGCACTCATGCGAGAGTTTAATATTCTGCACGACCGTGCAGGCGCGAGGTGTTGTTAGAATCGCACAGGGTAAGAATTCGTTTGATGCGTGTTCGGCGCGCGTCAAGCGATGGCGAATTTCGCCGCCGAATCCCATCGCACCGAAGATTCGCACTCTATCAACATCTATACTATAAAAGCACAGCGCATTTTTTGTTAGGGCTATGTTCTCTAATCTGGTCGGGGCATGATTTCTTGGTTGCTTGACCTTGTAAAGGAGGATGTTCATTACTATCTGGCGTAGTAGTAATGATTGATGGGGCAACTTTTTCACACGATGAAAACACGAGTAATAAGTTGAAGTTCAACGCC